GGGGGAAAATATGTAAGTTGAGCTGGCAGTCTGTGTCTTCTGTACCACTGAAACGTATTCCCGCTGACATATCACGTAATATGTTTGCGGGAATCACCCAGTAAAAATAAACAGCAAGGTAAAAAATACTTGTAGTTGTAGTTCGGTACGGTACTTCGTAGAGCACTGCTGTACGTAGCACTTTCGTACCTGTAGAAAATACAGTACTGTACTGCAATAGTGTATCGTACGTTCGTCGACGGATAGACGAAAGAAGTGTCAGCCTGTCAACAACAACGCTGGGTTTTTCGACTAATTCTGTCCCTTGAAATGCATAATCGGTGGGTGCTTCGTTTCGTTTTACGGCAAATTCAGATTTTGGTGGAACATGTAACGAATGTCGTTGTTGTGATCGTCTTGGAGTTGGTCACATGAATAGATACTGATACGGTTCCATTGAAAATATTCAATATCTACAAATCTACAAACATCATACAAGAATGATAGAGCAAAGCAAGAAAGCGCGAAGATTCGTTCTTCCAGCCGACGGGACCCCAAAGACCGATCCAAACAACCAAACAGAGGATATTAAGGCGTATCCTCAGCCGTCGCCTTCCGACGATGGAACCACCGAAACCCAGCCCTATCGCTACATAAGATACGAAAATGCCGAATCCGCGTATTTTCCTGAGTCTGCTATCCCGCTCGACACCCTTGTGTGGGTTCTCCTGAGCAAGGGCAAGTCCAAGGTCCCGCAGCTCTACACGAGAGCAAGGGTGCACTGCGCCGAACCCGACGCAGAGGGGCGCATCCAGGTGCGGTATCCGAGCGGATCGACGTACCGCGTAAGGAGAAAAAACCTCGTGCCCGTCTTTGAGGAACTGGAGGGATTGATCGTGGTGGCCGCGGAAACCAACGATTACCGCCGCATGTCGATTGTGCACACCCGGAAAGAAGATCATTTCATAGGTGAGTACGTGTAGCCATGAAGCTTGTTTGTCATTTTCAACTGAGGCATCGCTTTCATCTTGTAGATTTTAATATCCTCATGTAGAATAATGTTCAATACTTTCGGACCATGTTGTTACCAATAACTACGATAGAAATTGGTTGCGACTATGGTATACTGGTCGATAGCGTCGACGCCAAAAGCACCCTGGGGATTGACAAAAGCGAGGAGTCCATCGACATTGCAAACGAAAGATATCCAAACGAAACATTCTTGTTAGGCGATGTTTTCGAAGACGATTTGGACGTTGTCCCCCAGAACCCCCTGGTTGTATCCATCGATATTAACGGAAATAGAGAATTGCAAGCGGTATTGAAGTGCATACAGCTCGTGTTGGACTCGTGGTCGCCGAGGCTAATAATGGTAAAGTCGCGAGCACTGCATGCAAAAATGGTAAATGAGGGCATGGATTGATGTGCCGGTTTATGTCGGATTACGAAATAGTTGTAGAACTACAGTGTGCAATTAGTTAGAAAGCTCTGCCAAACAGTGCCATGTGAGTTGCGTCTTCTCCACTGTAGAAACACTTCTTTCCCTCGTGCTGCCCGTCGTTGTTGGAGGCGAGGGGGTAGCACCGAATTGTGGCCTTGCATTCCGTTTTGATTGCGTCCTCGTTTGCGGCGTCGCACTTCCAGGGAACTAGGTACAGACCGTTTCCTGGATACGACGAAGCCTCGTCACTTTCAAGGGCCGTCTTCATTTCTTCATACGAGACATCCTCGGTAATTCCATTATCCAATCGGCTTTGGGCCTGGTCGAGCAGGCTCTGCTGCATGGCTTCCAAGCCTTCCGATGCCTTGGATGCGGCGTCGGTGAGATCGACGTTGATCTTCTCGTCAGAATTGTCTCCAGCTCGGTACTTGAACACGCAGCTGTTGTTCTTAATATCGCGAGGCCCAAGCTCAATGCGCAGAGGCACACCCTTTCGTTCCCACTCGAAGTACTTAGCTCCGTTACGCATGAAATCGCGATCATCTACCTTGACACGGATACCCTTCGCCTTGAGACCGGCTACCAAATCGTCGAGTGCCTTGTTCATGGCGGCTTTCCCTTCCTCGTCGTTCTTCTTTGGCGCGATAGGAACAATGACGGCCTGGATGGGGGCTACACGAGGTGGAAGCACGAGTCCTTCGTCGTCCGAGTGCGTCATGATCAGTGCCCCCAAGAGCCGGGTTGAGACACCCCACGAGGTTCCCCACACATCCTTTTGCTCCCCATCCGCGTCCTGGAACGTGACATCGAACGCCTTGCCGAACGACTGGCCCAAAAAGTGGGATGTTCCGCTCTGCAGCGCCCATCCGTTTTGCATCAGGGCCTCGATGGTGAAGGTGTCTTCGGCTCCCGCAAAGCGCTCCGAAGGAGACTTGACACCTCGGACCACGGGCATGGCCAACAGATTCTCGCATAGAGAGGCGTATTCCTCCATCATGGTCTTGGCATCATCACGTGCTCCCTCAGCTGTCGCATGCGCCGTGTGGCCTTCCTGCCACAAAAATTCGGAAGTGCGAAGAAAAGGGCGTGTTCGCATCTCCCAGCGCATAACGTTTGCCCACTGATTGACCTTTAATGGCAAGTCACTGTGGTTTTATATATTTGTTGCCGTTGATCCAAATGTGAAGGGTACCCAACAGTTTTTAAATTCAAGAATGATAAAAGGAGGGTAAGAAAATCAGTACAGGCTCGCAAACTTTTAGACGCAACACTGGCTTTGTTTACGTACCGGTGGCTATTAATCCACTTTCGGAACATGTACCAAATCATGGTTTCTGAAGTAGGACGTACGATCAACGGATCCTCAAGTTCTGCCTCGGGATCGACCACCAGTCCGCCGTCCTCTTCATCCGATGATTTTAGCCGGTGATGAGTGACAACGGCACACTCTTTGGCAAAACCGTCGACGTGTTCGGCTTCTTTTGACAAGAATGATTTCGGGATGAGCAACGGAAAGTAGGCATTCTCGGCTCCGTGTTCTTTGATTCGATCGTCTAGTTCGGTTCGAACCTTGTCCCACAAGGCCATTCCCCATGGCTTGATGACCATACATCCTCGGACGGGAGATGTTTCCGCCAATCCCGTCACACGAATGACGTCGTTGTACCATTTCGAATAGTCTACTGCTCGCGCCGTAATGAAATCGGAGCTATCGTCGTCGGTTTGTTTTTGTTTTTGTTTTTGTTTCTTTTGCTGTTTCTGCTTTTTCTGTTGTTTCTTCGGTTTCTTATTGAATGTGGGATCCAGCTCTGCCTTTAGGGCGAGGAGTTCCTGAACGATCGGTGCTATCGTCTCCTTTTCGGCTCCCTCGTCCTTGAGAGCCCGAATTCTGTCACCCGTGTCTTTGATTTTTGACTCTAGCACACTTTTTTGTTCGTCGGAAAGCTCCGTTGCTGCACTGAACATGCGGGTTATAGATTTGTTGTTGTAGAAGCTCTGCCCCGGGCTTGTTTCGGCAGCGAACGATCCCGTCCGTGAAAGGGTTCGTCCTACCAACCCTGTTTGGGAGTGAGCAGCGTGAAAGGCGTGGGTTGCTTGGCGGCCGACCGCAAACAAAGCAGCTGCCATCATTATCATCATCGTATCGATTCTATTCACCATGAATGTAGTTGTTGACTGCGCAGTCTTCAACTCTAATGTGTCGCCTAGATTCGTTGAAATAAGTACACGGGGGTTGATTTGCATCGATAGCGAACAGAACCCTGAAGTGCTTTGTCGATTCTAGGTCGTAGTAGCTTGTATGCGAAAGTACGTAGTACGAAGTACTACTTGACTAAGGAAGTTTGGGAGTGTTCGAAGGATGATCTCGTTCCCATCACACACCATCGGTAAAGATCAATATCACACCTACCGTACTTTCGTGTCATACGTAAGTTTTCACATCACTCTCATCATATCACGGAGTTACGAGTACGTAGTACGTACCAGTACCAAATACTACTCTTAATCTTCTGAGCACCGTTGGTGGTGCCTACCAAGTCGCCAGTCTTGAGTCAGTCGGGGGTCCGAGTGCATCTTCCATCATTTCCTTAACATTCCACGTGGAATACCTTGAGTTATGTTTTGCGGATACGTGCGAGGTGCAGTTAACTTACCTTACATACCAGATAAAGATATGTACGTAGGGTACAGGTTATTGTTTCATTTCTACTTCTTCCTATCAACAAATCAACAAATGGGTTTGCCGACTTCCCTCGCAGATTTTAAATTTTTGAATCTATACCTCGAAAGACCAAAAGTTCATCTGTTTGATTTTGATTCATACATTTCGCATTTTCATTCTCAGTTCGATTTTCAGTGGTACCACTAATCGTAACGTAGAAGTTGATGATATTCAGCGGTACGAGGCATGGTTCAATAAACAATACTGTGCTTTGTAGCCTCTTTCGGTAGCCATCAAGGATAATCAAAAAGCTTTCGATTGTTGTATGGTTTAGTTCGAAGTGAGGAGCGGCAATGGTTTTAACAGACATCAAAAATCATGTTCCTCGGACGAGAGACTGTTCGACTACAACCACTGCAAAGAGACGACAAGATACCGAGAGAGTCAATTGGAAAAACAATGATGAGTCGAAAAATCTTTTGATATCGCGCAAGCAAGACGACTACACGACCGAGAGCCTTTTGGGATCATCCATTATGCAACACATACTCCCATCGCCGAGACGTTTCTCGGTCTGTCGCGACTCTTCGACACTCGACGGGAAAGATCGAATTGAGCAATCTCGAAGTCCCGATGAGGATTCGAGTCTTGAGAAGGGACCGTGGGGGGAGAAGAAAGTTGTTCGGGGAAGGCCTTCTTCACATCTATCTCTCGAGACTCAAACAGGGATAGTTGAAGCCCAGCTAGATCGGATAGAATGCATACGGAACGAAATAAGAGGTAGGCTAACCGAATCTCGTGACTCCAAGGCCAAATCTGTTTTGAATGGGGAAGAATTTTTGTCGGCGGGTACCAACCAAACCTGGTGCCACCCGACCAATCGAGAAAGCAGGGAGCTAAAATCATACATAGCAGATGTTTTTTCATCCCAGAGGGCTGGGCAAGATCAATGCAATGCTCGTTTGTTTCACCGCGAAAAATTCGAATCGCTGAGAAAAGAGTTTTCGCAATTCATCAGAGAAATTGCTGTGAAAAATGATGTCCCTGAGTCTTTATATCTGGATACGAAGAATAAAGTGACATTTGTGGTTCGAAGTAGACCTCTCTCAGAACACGAAATCACAAGGGGTGACTTTTGTGTCGTTGATATACCCCGGGAATCTTCGAACACCCTGGCTCTATACGAGACCAGTGTATTGCCAGACAGAAAGACTGTGGATTGCAAAATTCATGTATTCAAATTTGATGCGGTTCTTTCCGAGAGAGCTTCTGCAGAGGATTTTTACAATCGAACGATGCGGATGAACGTCACGCACGCAATTAATGGTGGTTTAGGGACGATAATTATATTTGGGCCAGATGAATACGGAAAGTTGCGCACAATTTTAGACGTGGAAGAGAGAGCCGCAGGCGATCTGTTTTCTGACCCAGTGACATCAACCCGCTCTATTTCTATCAAATTTATGGGTACGGAGTCGAGAGGCAACAAATTGATAGATCTGATTGATCCAACTCATAGTGTGGTTGAAGTTGTCAAATCCGATGGTGGAGAATATCAAACAGAGGGGGCACTACGGATTGATATTTATTCTGCTAGAGATTTTTTGGACACACTACGCCTCGCCAGGCAGCGGTTTGCATCGCGAAGAATCATTCGACAAGAAAGTGATGCGACTTCGTACTTGCTATGTGAGGTATTGATAAAGAATAAGAAAGGCAAATCAGGACGTCTCAATTTGCTACTATGTCCTTCTGGTGACGACATTCAAACAAAAAAGAAGAGTCAATCATTAACAGAACATAATCCGTTGGCCGAACTGATGACAATGCTTCAAAACAAATCATCCCTTGATAGTGTTTCGCGAACGACTTCTTTAACGAGAGTGCTTGCTCCTTCTATACTTGAAACAAAACAGTCCCATGTTTGCCTTGTCGCGGCTGTGTCACCGTCGTCAGTAGACACAGAAACTTCGTTGTCAAGTATGATCTCGTCGATGGAATACATGAAAGAAAGCACAGCCAGCAGTACCGAAATTACAAGTCGCATCAAAAACATTGAGGCAGAAAGTCAGGGAACAAATGATTTAATGCTGCCAAGGCAGTGGTCAAAAGTTCAACTGATGGATTGGGTAAAAAGAAAGAATCTTGTGGATCATTTGGTCGAGGGAAATTTGTCGGGGAAGATCGTAATGAAAATGAGTATCCACCAAATAAAAGAATGTTTTTTCAGCTCTTCTGACAGCGGGGACAGAAAAGCGAAAAGGTTGTTTCGTGCACTAAGGGCCGAGAACGATAGAGTAGCCCGGCTGAGAGTTAAAAGAAAATTTGCTCTCCAAATGGCTGAGAAATAAGTTCTAGTTGTCAGTACCTACTAAATGCACGGTAGTGAAGAAAAATTCTATTTTACATTATTAAGTTGATATCACCTGTTCTCAGCGATCTCTTCTAATTTTTGACCATGGTTAGGTCTGCAGTCCTTGAATTTTTTCTACGACCAGTCCAAACAAAGACTTTTTTGCTTGTTGCTCCGATTCCTGTTTGTCTTGACTCTCTGCCAAAAGCAAATTCTTGATGGCTGCGGCAATTTCGGGTTTTTCGTCGGTAAGACCAAGTTCCTGGAAGATGTCATAGGCTTCTCTCCAGCACACTCTTGCTTCTGCTTCATTGCCGTCTATTTTGTGAATGTTACCAATTATAGAGAGGACATTGACATAATCTGCATCCTTTTCGGTCTTATTGTCACGTCGAATACGAATAAACTCGGTGAGCAGATCAAGCGCTTCGTCATAGTTGTTTATACGGAATTCTAGCGTCCCCATATACTCCAAAATTGTCGCAAGACTCTCATCGTCTTCGCCAAAGAGGAGCGTTCTGATTTTTAAAGCCTCTTGATATGACTTGATAGCTTCATCTGTGTTGTCCATATCACAGCGAATATTCCCAATTGCAATCAGGGTATCAGCGACTTTCTCATGGTTTGGTCCGAGTTCCTCCCGACGAATTCGGAGGCATTCTTCGTAACACTCAATGGCTAATTCGGGCTCTCCTTTTTCTTTGTGAACGTTTCCAATATTTCTTAAGGTCTCTGACACTTTGACGTGTTCTTCCCCAAGTTTCCGTATTCTAAGTGCATCCCACAAAAGGGTCAGAGCGTCGTCTAGGGATTTGCTCTTGGCCTTCAGAAATCCCATCATATTAAGTGTATCTCCTACCTCTCTTGAGTCATCTCCGAGTTGATATCTTCTAATACTCAAAGATTCCACGAAGCAAACCATGGCGCGCTGGGGCTCTTCGTTGTTATTCAATGTGTAGCCCATACTGGTTACAATTTTGTTGTTTTTCAAGTAAGAAACAATGCATATTGTTAGCAAGTAGCATTTTGATAATGTACTAAAATTCATGGATTCTCGGGCGAAATTGCAAAAGTACCAGTAATCATGAACGCACCTATATAGCGTTTCTGAGACTGCGATATCATCGAGCCCCAAACGACTTCTGCGTATATCCAGTGCATCGATATAGAATCCCATGGCAGATTCGTATTCACCAAGATCATCCATCAAATCACCAAGTTCTTGCAGTACTGAAGCGTAAGCTTCGTGCTGTTCTCCGTGGATCAATTTCCTAATTCTCAATGCCTCTGTTGTATTGATTTCAAAATATTGCAAACGAAGAAAGACATGGTATCAACCCGTAGAAGAGTGATTCAAGTGAACCATTGATACAATATGTAAGTTTTTGCTCCTTCACGAAACCAGAAAACGTATTTCTAAAAACGATATGTCCTCTTTACCTTCAAAAGCGATTTGGGCCTTCTTTGCTTTCCCAACCCCTTTGGCTAGTGACCCTATCTTCTCATGGGTAACTGCTACCTTTTCGCTATCTGGTAAACGTAGCTGTCGAATCTTTAAGGCCTCTTTCAATTCAGCAGTTGTCATGTACACAGTTGCCGTTGAAATTTATAACAGAACATGCGGTGAATACGAATGTTGAGCAACAATTTATAGGTGAATCCAAAAATTTTATGGAAGTGAAGCAAGGCAGAAAAAGAATATACGAGCCAAAGCACCGATCCAATTGTTTTCAGTGTGTACTTATATTCAATGCAAAATCGGCTGACTTACCTTCAAGACATCGCAAGGCTTTGTCAAGACGATTCCGTGTTTGATGTAGAAAGGCCATATTGAATAGAGTACTCGCCACGTCAAGGTGAACGAACCCAAGAACCTTTCGTCGCGCTTGGAGACTTTCTTCAAATAGCTTCATAGCTTTTTTCTGTTCCCCACTCATGAGATAAACACAACCGATCAAGTGAAGAAGTGATGCTATTTTTTCTTTTCGATATGGAACCTTAGTAACGAGTATCTGCAAAGATCTCTCGTAGCACTGAAGACCTTGTTCTTGGTTCCCTTCGAGGTTATTGAGAATGCCTTCGATAGTTAGTATGTCTGCATCACCTTCTGGGCCTCCTTCTGGGTCAAGTTCCTTGAGTCGTATAGCTTCATCAAAATGAAGAATTGCTTCGTCGACATTCCCTTGATCAGACAAACAATTTCCTATGTGTTGATAAGTTGTTGAAAGTTCAGGATGGTCTTCTCCTAAATCCTCTAGTTTCGAGCGAAGGGCCTCCTGGTGGCACTTGAGAGCTTCATCAATCTCTCCCTTACTATAATGGATTACTCCTTTATTGTCGAGAATTTCACCTATCTCTATGTGGTGATGGTCTGGTTCTTTGTACATGACGTCAAGTGCCCAGTTGTAGCTTTCCAAAGCCTCTTGATAATCACTCATGTTCAAAAAAATATCACCAATTTTCTGAATTGCCTTCGCATAAAGGATATGCTCCTCTATTGATATGGTTAAATATAGTGAGCATCATTGCTCATCATTCTTCGAAAAAATAACGGTACGGATGATTACTTACCTCCATGAATACTGCCCCTTATAACGAGGCACCTTTTCAAAGAACTAAGCGCTCGTTTATAGTCGTTCACTTCAGAATAAACAACTCCAATATTATACAAGATTCCCGCCACAACTTCAACTCTTCCCAATGACGCTAAGAGTAGTTCATAACTTTTTTCCCAATGGATGATTGCCCCATCCCAACATCTCCTCTCTGCCAGAGTGAATCCAATTTCATAGTGGCACCTTCCTACATCCACTTGCTTTGTTCGAGTGTCTTCGGTGATTTGCTCTGTATTGATCGAGAGCTGTCGTCCCAACGCCTGACATGCATATTTCATGATGCTGCGGGGGTCCAACTTCGAATCTCGACTTTGTCGTTCTTTTAAAGCAGTGAATAGCATTTCGCAGTCCTTGATATGACGCTTTGTGGCATTCTCGCGTCCAAGACACAGCAGCCTTCCTCGAATAAAAGTTTTTTCTGCAAGAAGATCAGCTGCGACGCTGTACATCGATCCTCGAATCATATGAGAAATAATCATCTCAAGAGCATAGCTTTGTGCAGCATCTTTGATCCCAGTATCCCATTCTTTAACACGAGAAAGGTAAGCATCCACAAGGGCACGATTCCATTGTCCCTCGGCATCTTTGGTAAAATCTCTCAAAGAAATATCGTCATGTGCTAAGTATTCTCCGTATTCGTGGTGGATAGAGTGCATGACTTGTAAAAATTTCTGTTCGTCATCAGGAATCTCCTCCTCGTCTTCATCATCAGAGAAAGTTATAACTTTTAGAACACCCAACGCTGACAATGCTTCGGGAATAAGAACAGCTGCTTCCTTCTTTTGAGCATAAAATAGGCTGCCTTTCTTGAGTAAAGAAACTTCGTACGTCTCTAGAAGAGTTTGAAAAAGCAATTCAGCCATATCCATTGGGATAATAGGATACGGCTCTGTCAAGGCAAACTCTGAAATGTGCTTTCGTTCACAGAAGACTGTGATAAAAGCTGCGAAACAGAATTTTATGATGTTTGTTGGTCCACCATTGATTGCTGGCGAGAGACTCGTACTCAAAATCTCGTACATCATATCAGTTTTAGTGTTGTTGCCTGCTTTCAAAATTTTGTCCATCGATTTGATGACTTCAGAGTGAATCTCTTCTATGCTACTATCAACACCAGCTGTTGCATGCTTGAGATTCAACCAACGGCCAACACTTTTCACTGCCAAGGGATGATGAGCACATTCTCTTACAACAGACCTCGCTTCTTTAGACTCCGCCATTAATGAATCTGAAAGCTGCCCAGATTCCTGAATCAAAAGGCTGATTGCATCTGACTCTTCAAGCATATCTATCTCAACTGTGTCTGCAGCTGGAAGGAGGGATCTGCAGCGAGTTGTAATAACTAATGCACAATTATCGCCTTCGCCATCAATCGATTCATCCGGCATTGGAGCAAAATCAAACCAATCCATATCTGGCTCCCAGCATACATCATCGAGAATAATCAAGATGCTCCTATCCTCCAATAACCCAGCAATCGTATCACGAGCGTAGATCATGAAACCTTCCTCACGACGCTTACGTTTAGACAGACTTTCGCCTGGTGTATGCAGCAATTCAGCGAATAAGGGAACACCATCATAGAAGTCAAGCTGTGCTACTAGTTCCCTCAGGCACTGAGTGTATCGATTATAGTTTAGCTCTGCTTCTCCAATATAAAGCCATACGACTCCATCGATGAAATATCGACGAACGTCGGGATGTTCCGCAACCATTGCTGCTAATGTTGTCTTCCCAACCCCAGATACACCCAGTGCATCGGGATCGTCCATGACTTCTGGTATCGATGATATTGATACTATGTTTGTGCTTGAAAGTCCCAAAGGACTCTCAAGAGTATTGCGAATACTCGTAAAATGATCAAGAAGCAATTCATCCAGTATAGCACGGGGCGGTAGAATTCGTCGCATTATACTTGCAAATACATCCAATCGAGGCAACGTGTCGCCATTCACCTTGTCTAGTACGTGTTCAGCTGCTTGGGGAACGGGTGCAAGCTCATCTTCATCTATGTATTCCTGGTCAGGCTCTTCCTCTAGCAATTCAGGATCGATGCTACAAATGTCCATCAAGACAGTTGTATCGGGACACCATTGGTCTGTACTCACCATCACTTCGTAACAAATTTGTCGGAATACCTCTGGGTCATTATCATACTGGAGAGCTTTAAGCTCTTCAACGTGTCCTGTTGCCAACCATACCTCATGAAGATTTTCTGACACCCCTTCGTCAGGTGTATCGACGTCGTCAAAGTAGCATATCAAGTCAAGTGAATCCCGTTCGATCAGTTCCAAAAGCGTCACATATGTGATTTCAGCTCTCTCAGTCCATTCTTGTCTTTCCCCAACCCTATGAGTAGTCTCACATATTAGATCAATGAGAGCATTTAATCTATAAAGAAGCTCATCAACATAATCGTCAGGGTCGTCTTCGTCGCAATCCAATATAATTGGTTTCAGATCCGCAAACAGTTGATCGAAAGTGTCGGCGAAGCTAAGAATTGCTTTGAGGGCATGAACGTGCACTCCCGCCTCCTCATCCTTAGTGCTTTTTATTCCTGAAAAAGTCACAATGAGCTCGAGTTCGTCCGACAATTGCAAAAATATCCCCAGTAACGCGTCAAATCCGTGGAGAAGGCTGTTTGCCGAAGTATCAGGGATCTCTTCATTTCCATCATTTTGGTCTTCGAGATAAAGGATGGTCTCATTTACGTTAGCTGCAAAGTCTAAAAGAGCAGGGCTCTTAGCTTCGTTCTTCCTTCTCATCCTTCTCCTTCTTTTCTTTTCCCTCTTGATTCTCTCCTTTTCAGAAATGTATTTCTTTGCCTTCTTTGGTTTGATTTCACTTAATTCACCTTGTTCCTCTCCCCCAGTACTCTGACCTTCCTCTTGCGAATTTTGGGAATCAGTTTCAACAATATTCAACGCTTCTTTTTGATGAGATGAAGCTAGACTCGACTGCGCGTGGTCGTCTTTCGTAAGTTTACTCTGCGTGGTACTTTCCGCAGACTTGATTGAGCATTGTTTCGAATTATCAAATAACTCATTTGGTTGACCAAAAACTTCTCCAAATGTCATCGATGCTTCAGCAAAACTTTCCCAGTCTTTAATGCTCTTTGTGTGGTTCGATTCATTGACACTATTTCCGTCAATGTTTGCATTTGCTGCGGGGGCGTTGTCATCATCGAGCGATTTCTCGCCGTCACATTCATCACTTACTTCAGATTTGTCGCTGCCTGACGTCGGTGCAGGATGATTACTGCGTGACCCTTCGTTCTTATCCATGACTACTACTGATCTAGAATGCAAAGTAACTTCTTCACCAGTCTCGTTCTTCAATGATGTTGATATAAGTCCCACCGGCGTTTTCTCTTCATCCATTGCCGAATTTGGTTTGGAATGACTCGTGTCTTGTCTATCAAGTTTGCTATCAATTGATTTCAATATAAGGTCCTCAACGCAATCAGGGTGCGACATGGAAGCGGGTGATCCAGCTTCATCCATAGCCGATGTTTGTCTAGAATACTCCGTCGACGATGCATCATCGAATGATCTCGAAACAGAACCTCCAGAAAGTGGTTCTTCTTTTTCATATTCATCTATTCTTGATCCAGAATGATCATCTGTAACAAACGAGTTAGAATCACTGGATCCAGAAGCTTCATCTGAGACTGATCTAGGTCGAGCATCGTCTAAATCAGTTACCTTGTCGTCTTCTAGTATTGATCCTGCTCGTTTGATATTGTCAAGCGGAAACTCAGATGGGTTCCTCGTCTCATCCTCGACTGATCGCGATCTGGAACCTTCAGAATCGTCCTTTATCTCCAATACTGATCTCAAATGCCCGCTGGAACTATCATTCTCTTCGTGATCACATGGTCTTGTTTCTGAACCATCAGCGTATGATTCGTAAGGATCATCACAATGTGATCTAGAAATAGAGTCATCTGTGAATGACTTTTCGGCGTCATCTCTGGATGTAGTCGATCTTGACTTCTCGGAATACGAATCGCCATCTTCTTCCCTGTATGATCTTGAACTTGATCTTGTATTCTCGGTATACGAGACGTCACCATCCCCAATTGGTCTTAATCTTGACCTCGATCTTGAATGCCCAACATCATTTTTATTTGCTCCATCTTGAAACTGAGAATCTATAATCTTATCATGGATAAAACTTGAATGTTCACTATCACCCATATCTGACCTCAACCTTGAATATTCCGTGTGTGATTTTTCAGATTGATCACCATCCATAACTGATATTGCCTTTGAATGATCAGAGTATGAGTTGTCAGCCTCATCATTTGGCACCCCTTCCTCACTGAATGATTCATGATCTTGTCCAGTGTATGATTTTTCAGATTGATCACCATCCATAACTGATATTGGCTCTGAATGACCAGAGTATGAGTTGTCAGCCTCATCATTTGGCACCCCTTCCTCACTGAATGATTCATGATCTTGTTCAGTGTATGATTTTTCAGATTGATCACCATCCATAGCTGATATTGGCTTTGAATGATCAGAGTATGAGTTGTCAGCCTCATCA